GGGCTTTGCTATGTGGGATCGTGGTCCCAGGTATGTCTCTCACAGGTCACTGCTGCTGCTGCTGCTGTTATCTAGGTCTCAGTTCAACCGGCACAGGAGTCTCTGCCAAGGATGGGCATTGCATTCTCTGTTGCTTCTTCCTTGCTGGTAAGAGGTTCCTCATTTCTTGCCACTAAGCCTACAAGCCTACTCACTTTAAACCTGGCCTGTTGACAAAATTAACCAATCTTATAATGAGTAGTATACACACCTTATTTGAGTGTTCCTACCCAGTAAGGAAGCAATGATGTCAGTCTGAGGACTAAGGTGTGCCTCAGGCCATGGTCTTTCAATCATTTGCTATGCTGCTGAAGTTGGACAATGAATAAGGATGAGAGAGCAACTGATGCCTTTGAGCTGTGGTACTGAAGAATGCTGAATTTCCAAGGACTGCCAAAAGAACAGATACGTCTTGAAGAAGGTGCAGCCAAGGTGCTCCTTGGAGGTAAAAATAACAAAGCTTCATCTCATATACTTAAAACATGTTGCTGGGAGAGGCCTTCTCAGAAAGTATAATGCTTGAAAGGCAAAATATTAGAGAGGAAGGCCAAAAATGAGATGGATGGATTGGCACAGTGACTGCAGCAGTGGGTGCGAGTGTGTCAGAGATTGTGAGGATGGTGCAGGATAGGACAGGGGTCATATCTGTTGTTTATAGGGTCACTATTAGTTCTACATGACTTCAACAGCACCTACCAACAACCCAGCCATGTGGCATAGTCAATGGCAATGGATTAGGAAAACCATTTTGAATCATAAACCCACACTCCCTCAGGTGACTGCTAACTCCCAAGTCAGATCATTTTCTCTTTCTGCACATGAATTCTAGAGGCTCCCCATCTCTCAATGGCCTTACTGGACCCAACAGAACTACCCCGGCCCTGCTCTCATCTATTCTGCTCATTCATCTTCAGCCCCCTTTGGCCTCCCTGTTGTTCCCGCAAAACACCAAGCTTGCTTCTGATACAGGATGCCCACGTGTCGTGTCCTTCGCTTGAACAATCTTCTTGCACATCTGTATGGCTTGCTTTCCCCATCCAGGTGTTGACACAGACCTGCCCTGGAGCCTGCGTCCCACTTCTTGATTCTTCCCTTCGCACTTAGCGCTGATTATGCATTTTGCTTATTTTTATTCCTCTGACTAGAACACAGCTCCATGAGAGCAGCAAATGATTGTAATCCCAGTACCTGGGGCAAGGTTAATAATATAGAAAATACTCCATAAGTAATTTGCAATTTTAAGATGTGGGTATACTGGGTGGTTTATCCCATTAAAACAGGAGAGTCTGGCTCCAAATCATAAATTTGATGTGGAAAATCGTTTCCTCTTTTTAAAAGTATTTTCTCAAATGTCTCTTACCCAGAGTTCCACAAATTGTTACTGATTCAACTAATTATGCCTGTGGTAAAAAGTTGTGCAGCTAACCCACAAGTAGGCAGTTTATATTCTCCAGCTACACTGAGAAAGATTTACAGCCTCTGAACATCCACTGAAGGGAAGCTAGGAGTTGGTTCCAACTCCATGGCAGTGAATTTTCACTTCATGTTCATCTAGTCCTATTTGGGAAAAATGCACAAGGCCTAACAGTTATTCCGCAGAACTCAGGAAAAGTTAATCCAATTTTTGGAAAGACTGGAAAGTTTGAGGCCATGGTTTTTCCATACCTTTTAGGAAGCAATGTGCAAATTGCTTTGTCAGATTTCTGACTCAAGTCCAGTGTGTAGTGTTTTCCCATTTCAAAATAAGTTGTGCGCTTTTTCCTCTCTGTCCTATTACTCTGGTCCCAAAGATCGAAAGCTATTTGCCATTTAATCTAAAAACATCCAATACCAGCTTCAATTCTCAAGTGTTAAAAAAAAAACAACACTAAAAAAACCACCCAACCAAACAAACAAAAACACTCCTCTGAGGTCACCAGACTGATTCAAGGTAGAACACAGAATACAGGAAGAGATGCTTGAGTTGGTGCAGATGGAGGAACTGAGACGTGAGTCGGGTGTAGACTTCGTGAACCTCATGCTCAGTCTGAGTAACACAAGGATCCTTGATGTGCCACAGAGTTAAGAGTGTGTTCAGATGAACCATCTGCCCCAGATGGGAGAAGAGTGGCAACAATCTCCTTCCTTCTTAAAGCCTTTCTCTGGCTTTGCTCGGAAACTTGGAGCCAGAATTTATCTCAGCATAGTGACAGGCTCAGACAGTTCACTGTGGAATCACAAAATCCATACAACACTGAGGCTTTATTGCACCTGTATAATCAATGACAACATAGTTATCGTAGTAGTACAGAAAACTTCAAACTTTAAGGCAAACTGACAGGGATTAGAGTTAACACCTGCTTATGTGTTGACTGATCATCTGCATAAAATCTTAACTCTGTGGAAAACATGAAAACAGGAAGATTCCCTTTCACTAATTCTGGTTGTCTTTTTGGTTGATGCATTGATACTGAATCCACCCGCAATGCAGCTTCTTTCACACAGTCTCAAATCTACTCTGGACTTGGTTTAGCTTCAGTTAAAAACTCCAAAACATTTTGGCAGTCTCCACTACACTGGCTCCTTGGAAAGCTGCTGGTACAAAATTTGAATGATTGTGGTATTAACAGATCTTCCTTGTATATGTATGGATGTTATCCTGTCACTCACAACCTAGTATTTCAAGATGAATCTAGAATGCTCATCTAGATGGTAACATAATTATGATAAAAACAAAAGGGGGAAATATGGGAAGCCAATACTAAATAATTGTAATAAACTGAATGCTCTTTAAAAAAATAAAAAAGATGGATCTAAAAAAAAAAATCTTGTGCGTGTTGTTCAGCTGAGAACACACAGCAAGTGTGTTAACAGATGTGAATCTTGCCCTGTTCTGTGTCATCTTCTCAATTTCTGATATGCTCACACTAACTATTCTAGGTAGTCAATCCAACTCATTGAAAAAGTATTCTTTACCATGCCTGTTTATCCCAGTATTTTTTTCCAAGGACTGGTTGGTTCCTCCTGACAACATGCCCAAGGTATGAGTTTCCCCATCCTTGCTCCAAACACCCTTGGTTGCACTTCCAACATATACCTTTTTACTCTTCTTCAGTACTCTTCTCCAACACCAGAACTTGAAGGCATTGATTTGTCATTATTCATTTTCCAACTTCCAGATGAAATACCATGGCTTGAAGTAGGATGCACCTTGGTTTTTAAACTGACATCCTTGCTCTTTAGCACTTTGGAGAGTCCTTGAGAGCAGGCTTTCCCAATGCAACATGTCACTTGATATCTTGACTGTGGTTACCAGAGGTTGACTGTGGTGGTGGGTAGTTAGGTAGTCAAGTCAATGCAATCCCATGGGAGACCTGTCCCATAGGGTTTCTAGGTCTTTATAGGTCACTTGCCTTTCTCCCAGAGTCCCATCATCCTTCTAGTGAGCAGCCACCGCCTTACATTTGCTGTTGTGTCCTTATAACTCCAATCTTGTATCAGGTTTACTGTGTGCTGCCGGGTTATGAGGTTACAAATATACTCACTCTGTATTCTGGGGATGAACAATTCAGAGTGAATACAGTAATTTCAACTCTCAAAACACACTAAGGGAAATAGAACTGAGGGGTGTAATAAAGTGGTGTGGGTTCAGGACCAAATCAGTGAGTGGATTTTATTGTTATCATGATTTTTTGTTTAATTAATTTTAATGAGCGTTTACAGAGATTTTTGGATTTCCATACATTCATTGTAAGGAGATAACCTAAAGGATTTCTAATTCTCTGGAGTCACTGGGAGTTAAGTGAGGATAGATTAGGCCAAAAAATGACCAATTACCCAGTTGGCAGGTGGCTTGCAGTTAAGATGGTAGGTGAGGGGGAGGTTTATTGTTTTGGATGAATTTTTGGAGGTTGGACCAACCTTAAAGGGATGAAAGAAATATAAGAACACAAGACAAGGCAGGAAGGCAGCAGAGCTGGGAGAAGCACGCATGGTTTTCAAACATGCAGATTTTCTTTTAATTTCTAACTTACCTTCATTAATTTTTATCTCCCTCAATAATCTGTCGAGTTAGAAACTGAACAGAGACTTTAGTCTGGATTTAAACCCACTGCAGACAAATGCTATCTTCTTTATTCTGACAAATTCCTTTACCTGAAGGAAAACTGGGTGAATACTTGTTTTGTAAATGCTCATTTCATGGGAAGGTCCCAGAACACAGTATTAGTTCACCAAAACATTTACCAAGAAAATAAAACCGAGAACAGAGGCTCTCCACTACTTGTAAATATAGTCAATACACATTCAACTTTAGCAAATTCCTCTTATCAAATGTCTTTTTCTCTACTAAAGTGGTTTTTAAAAAATTTATTTTATATTAAGTGTTTTTCATGAATAAGTCTTTACCATTTTAAGTTCCTTGACACTTCAGAAACTTGGGTAGGTGATTTTCAGCAACTGTTTTGTTTAGTAACCTAATCACCTACAATTAAGGAATCTAAATGTTTTAGATATGTTTAACCTCTTACTTCACACCACTTGGAAAATAGCAAAACCTAACTGCAGATGGTGTCTTATTGTACATGTAATGCTAAGAATCAACCAACAGGGTTAACACACCAGGAAACTCCAAATGCCAGAGTTGTTGTTAATTCAATGACTCCATATGAGAATTGTAGTTAATTGGGTTTTTAATGCCTGCTTTTCAGGCCTTATATTTCAGCCTCCAATGCACAAATTTTTTATTTCCACATAATTTGTTACTTATTAATTACAGAAGTTATTTTCACAGGTTCTAGGTATCCCGCAGTTTTGAGAACTGGCAGTTTAGAATATCACTTATCTTAAAATTAAAATCTGGTCTGGTAAGCATGTACTACATGCAAAATTAAGATATTTGCTCCAGTCCTTCCCACTTATTTTGAATAAAATATTTCAGGTGAAAGAAACTGTAAAGGCTGATAATAAAGACCAAAAGCATGTATAGTTTAATGTATTTTAATAGCAAACTTACAGAACAGCACAGAAGACAGACAACATTAAAAACATGTACTTGCATGTAGGACAACTCAGTTAGAAAAGTATAGTGAATGGATGGATCTACTGTATGATAAAAATGCTACAAACACTATTTAGTCGCCATCAATAAGAAATTTACTTGTTTTAAAAAAATCCAAATGCTGGCATTGTCCAGAAAAATTTAACAGGTTTATTTATAATTGTTACAAAGTTGAACTGCTGAAACTTGTTTACGGAAACATTTTTTTTCTGACTTGCAGTAATGCTTTATATCCCCACATTTATATTAGAAATTCACACACAAATGAAAATGGAAAAACTGCCAATCCCTGATTTCTGCCCCCTATGTTTCCATTCACAATCATATACTTAGGTACCTTTTGACCCCATGGAAAAAAATTATCTAACGTTCAAGAACTACCAATAACAGGAAGAAGAGATTTTTTTTTTTTAAAAGAATGAAATGTTTCCCATCCTAATGGATTCTTAAGCACGCTCTCCACGTATGCGGCGTGCTAGCTGGATGTCTTTTGGCATTATTGTTACACGTTTGGCATGGATGGCACACAGGTTGGTGTCTTCAAAGAGGCCAACCAGATAGGCCTCACTTGCCTCCTGTAATAGGAATAAAGGGGGGGGGGGATAAAAAAAAGGTAAGCAAAACAGGTATGATAACCAATACATTTAAATGTTCTAAACCTACACTTCAGAAGATGTCAACTATTTTATCAAAAGCTTACATTTTCAAATCTGTGGTACAAAGTAGATAAACAAACTTACAACAATTACACAGGGTCAAATCATATTACTAGTTTAATTTCTAGTAAGTAAAACATTTTTCAATTTAAACTGTTAACACTCACGTATTCAAGTCAAAATAATATAGATCCCTCCAATCTGTTCTGTCTTCTCTTTAATCTGAACTCCATGTACACTTCAAGGTCCATGTTAGCCTTTGCCCTGTCACTCACAGCTATCAAGTCAATTTCAATTCTTAGAAATCCTAGAATAATACACCATAGCTGACAACAGTTTCTGGGTTTTTTTAGACCTCAGTTTTATTACAATATACTTTGACATCCTTACACCTGTCTGAAAAAAGCTGAAAAACCCTCCGTCCAAATTAAACCACCTGCCTACACAGTTTCATTAGTCCAGTCACCAATAGAATCGTTTCAGAACAGTTGTCAAGATCCGTCAAGTTTGAACCAACCCCCCAGCGGGAAGCCACCAGTGCTCCCTGTTTCAGGAGAGTAGGAATTTTAAATGACATGTTTGCCCCTTCTCTCCAATTTATTTCTGTTATATTTAAGAGGGAAAAGGTGGATTTTTATAGGCGTTATTTTCATGTTTGCCATTTATTCCATTAAGTATTTCTTTGTACAGACCTAGCCACAACGATGACAGCCGAGTAAAGGTAGATCTATTAGATCATCAAAGCTGGTGCTTCTGTGGGATCACTGGAAGGTTCAAACTAGCAACCTTTTGGCTCCTAATTTCGGATAGCTTGCTCTGCTTGGGGACCCTTACATGTGCTATTTCTGTCCCAATAAAAAGGAATTCTTCCATTTTTTTGGACCCTAATATGACAAAAAAAAATATCAAGCAATTCAAGGACTTATAGGGTTCTTTAATGCAAAACAGATAATCACAAAGAGCTATTAAGGCAAGTGGTTTATTTAGTTTTAAGGGGGATAATTTCATGTTTTATTGTCTCCTTAGCCTTTGCTCTAAAACAAAACCGAAAATAAGCCCAAAGCTTGTTGCCAACAATCCTGACTTAAAGGGTAGAACTGCCCCAGAGTCCCCAAGGTTGTAATCTTTATGAAAGGAGGCAGTTCGTCTTTCTCCCACAGAGTAGCAACTAGTGGATTTAAACTGCTAAGCAATTTGGTCATGGCCAAGTGCTCGAACCAGTGCACCACTCACACAGTCATATCCCTAGAGTACATTTCACTACTCTCCTCCCTTGGTCTAACCTCAAGACTATTCTAAGAGGAAGCAAGTCTTTCTAGGTTCATGCAACCCAGTGTGGCTCCTAATTCCTTGGCATTCATGAACTACCCTGCATTTCAGCAATCTTTTCAGAGTTACTTAACAACAGAGACCTTATTTTATATTCCCAATGTCTTGATTTCAAACAGATGCTCAAGAAATCAGTTTAATTTAAGCCAGCTCAGCCAATCCAGATTATAACAATCCCAGGATGTTTCTGAGAAATACAGCACCATCAACCGTAATGTGACAGGACAGCAGATGTTGCTACAAAGTCGTGAGACCTTGAGAGCAACACAATCTGGGGGCCCCCAGAGGTCTCCCCAGGTGTGGCAGCTTAGAGCCCAAATACTCTGAGGACCCTGGAGCCAGTTTACAGAGTTGTGCCTAGTCAGCTCTGAGAGATTTAATACCCACACGGGCTTGACTGTGACCCAGATATTTCCAATTGTATTAACCAATGTCCCAAAGTCACTTAACCATTAAGGTACAATGTGAGTAAAAACTGCAATCCCAATGAAGAGAATTCTGAAATGACAGCTGAAAACACATCTCACGACCCAAAGAAAATATCAAGTTACTCTTTTAGGTGTACCTAATGCCTGCCTCTTCCACCATCTAACACATCACAGCTCATTCCCAACTCAGGTATGCTTGCCCAAACTCTGAGGCAGAGCAAAGGCAAAATTCTGAGTCAATTCTCTACAGCTCATGCCAAACCCAAACCAGCCTGTGCTTCATCCACACACCTGAAAATCAAACTCATCACTGTGAAACAGGACCCGGTGCCATTCAGAATTGTACTTCAACTACTCCCTGTTACTCATTCATATGCAAATTCTCCATGTCAACAGCTTAAATAATTAAAGTTTATATATATTAAAGCAAAGAACTACTGTAATAAAGAGAACTTTTCCCAGTCAATAAAAAGGTTATTTAAGAACACAGCAGGGGAAAAAAAAAAGGGCACAGCAGCTGATAAACACTTTGCTCAAAACCAATACAACTCTGCTCTGTAAATGTTAACACAAACCACATTAACTCACCCTCGCCCCCAAACTGATAGGCTAGACAATGAATAAAGCACACAGCCAAGTCAGCACATGTCTGAAAAATGTTGCGAATTTAAAAAAGTTATCTGTGAAGTTTTAATATGACCACTTAACCCCCTCCCACTCTGAATGTCAAATATAAATGTACATTCCTTAATAACAGCAACAGTAGAAAATTGGTCCCAGTGAATGGATAATTTTCAAGACAGTAAGTAGCCTTCTACCCAGATTCTTTGGTAATTTCAACCTAAAAGGTTTATCAATGACACTTATGGTCTTGGAAATCAGCCAGTCAAAAATGGTAGGCTTTCTAGAACTGTGTTCTTTCAAGCACAGACATGATAAATGCAACTAGAATTAACACAATACAGTTAGCAACGTTTCTGTATTTAAAACAGTGGGAAAGGCAACTTAATTTGCAATAATGATAATTAATATGAGAATTAAGACAGCAAACAAAGAAGTTTTAAAGGAAATAGCATGGGAGATTTTGGTAGTTGAAAGTTCAACTGAGAATTTAATGGATGCTTATTCCTGGAACTCACCAATCAAATGAACTTTAGTCTACCCATAGAAACAACTCAACCAATTATATTTCAGGACAGCATCCACCTATCAAATTTTCCTCAGACATAAAGCAAAAGCCAAGCACAGCAACAGCAGCCTTGAAAATCCTCCAATGGATGTATGGAGATTCTGGACCCTCCCTCAATAGATTATGATTCAGGTCTGCAGTGGTGCCTCACAATCTGCATTTCAACCACCTCTCCCGTCCAAGTTTTTGATGGAAAAACTCTTACTATACTTTAAGACACCAAAAAGCATCACATAAACAACATAAAACATTTATCTAAACAAGGGATGCCATAATTACATCCAAATACACCCCATATGGGAGCATTACCACATTTCAATGTTGGCATAACCACAAGTATTTCTCAGAAATGGAGGACAGGATGAAATTTAGCAGCCTACTCATTTAAATGGAAAAACTATAACCCTCTTAATAGAGTACAAGTTCTCACATCTCTGTCCTTATGTCCAGTATCACCTTCAAGCACTCACCCTAGCATCAGTCCACTTCCCCCTAGCATCAGTCCACTTCCAACCACTCCTTGCCAGTGCTTTTAGGCCAATGTTGTCAGAAATCACAATTAAAGCACACATAATTTAGTGTTCAATCTTCATGTCTTATAACACACCCTCAAGCAAACTTAGGGGCCTTCTAGTGGCCTAGTGATAAGATGCTGCAGTTCCAACCCTATGGCACCCTATCCACCACCATGTGATTTAAAGCCCCTGGAAGTCAGCTATGGGTCAGTTCCAACTCAACACCACACAACACCAACCAAACCAGGAGATTTTAAAAAAATATTCAGTGTGCATTTTTTTTTAAAAAAATAGTTCCCTGGAATGTGAATGGCTGTGGAATCAAAGATGGATTTGAGTTCAAATTATTTTATCATCTGACCCTGAGCAACTTAATCTTTCTGAAATCTCTTCGACAGTGATTATCACCTGGCTCACAAATGACACCCGAATACAGAAGCATAAGCTTTAGTAAGTACTATGTGCCACAAACACCCTCAAGAGTGCTCCCACCATCATTCACCTGCAAAGCACCAATGGCTGCGCTCTGAAAGCGCAGATCTGTTTTGAAGTCCTGAGCAATTTCTCGCACCAGACGCTGGAAGGGAAGTTTTCGAATCAGGAGTTCAGTGGACTTCTGATAACGCCTGATTTCACGGAGTGCCACAGTACCAGGCCTTCAGGGAAGAAAAAGAAAACAAAACCCCCAAACCCACATTAAATAGACTGTTACAAAATTAAAATGCAAACAAACAAAACCCCAAAACATCCAGGTCAGTTTTATAGAAATTATCTATCATTTTCCCATTTCAATATCAAATTGCAGTATTCAACTTATGACCTCTACACTCAAGTCCAACAAACAGCACCAATAATTTTAAAATAAAAAAAAGCCATGAGCTGACTGTAGGTTCCAACCAAGCAGCTTTCCAAAGTGCTGAGCATTTTCCGTTTTTAACTTGTATTGATGACTCACCATCTTCTGTTATGACTTCTAGAAGGTAACTGTTGTCACACCATTAATAAAGATTGCTAAGGAAGAGTCTTAATTTCATGCCACTCTCCCTGCTCCCATCTACACTTTCAATTCATAAAAGCTCTACTAGATTCCCAACCCAATGAGATGTTACTGGGAAAATTTTATGGATAGTATTTAGGTTCACTTTCCCACAATACTGCCCATTTTTCTCTTTCCAGGAATCATTACAGAACACTCTTTAATTTTTGTGCAGTGTTTCTTTCATACAGACTTCCAGCAAGGAAGCTGTCTCTAATTCTGACTTACTTCTTCCCCTGCATGAGCTTTTATTTTAGATTGGCTATAAAACCATTTCTAGAGGCAGCAGTGCGGACGACTCTGCCCTCTAATGGTAGACGCCCTCACAGCACCGCTCAGAGCTGAACACCAAAGGAGCTGGTCAAGGGACAGCAAGCCAATTAAGGTAAATAAGAACCGGAAACCACTTTACAACACTGCCCATCCTCACCATATTATTTTACCTAAAATGTAATCTCAAAAAAACCCCAAAAAACCAAAAAAAAAAAAAAAAAAAACAAACCCCAAAACCCCCAAACCAACCCCTCCCCCAAAACCCTTTTAATTTTTTTCTTACCAACAGTCATTAAATAGTTAACAATCTCATAAATATAATTATGATCAACGTATGGATTTCCTTAGGCCTATCAGTCAGATTATGGCTTGAAATGTTTCCAACACAATTAAAACATAGAAGCGTAAAGTCGGCTTGGCCCGCCTTTCTGCTGCAGGAGGAAGGCAGGCTTATGGGGCCCTGATACCTGTAACGATGCGGCTTCTTCACCCCGCCAGTAGAGGGCGCGCTCTTGCGAGCGGCTTTTGTCGCGAGCTGCTTCCTGGGTGCTTTCCCACCGGTTGATTTGCGGGCGGTCTGCTTTGTACGAGCCATGGTATAAACACCTCTTCACTTACCTACCAGTATTTAAAATAAAAAAATTTTGAAAAAAATCACTACATGTGCCCACAACACGCAAGTTTTTTCCCTGCACCCCTCCCTCGTCTGAAAATTATGGTATCAGTAAAGGGGGAGGGGGCGGCGAGAGCCTGTAATGTTATGTAATTTGAAAAAGCGCAGATTTACGTCTACCACCCAAATACCAGGTCTTAAAACAAACTGCTCATTAATACCAATAATCTCTCAGAACACCGATCCCAAGTAAAAGCAAAACAAAAAGAGACCCCCGCGCGGCACCGCTCCGATTCCCCTAATTATTTAATTAAGGTAGAGGTGGGAAAATGCCCGTAAACATTAGATCCACCGACGAGTCAAAAAGAACCAAGCCACAAAACCCACAGTCTACTCAAATTACAGAAAAAGAAAAAAAAATAGTAATGGGGGGGCTTCAGTGCCCCCCCACCCCGGCCCGCGCAGTTGATGGATTTGCGGTAAATATCGGAACCCATCCAAGGCGTCGCATCATCGCGGGGAGGTTGACAACGAGGCAGTCTCGGAAACCCAAGAGGAGCAACAACAGCGAGAAACCTACAAAGCGTCCAGTCTCCGCACGCTCGGCATCGGCGGCGAGAAACAAAGTGCCCCGCACCCAAGCTTCATCAGCGCAGGGGCCCGGGCCACCCCGGCAACCACCAAACTTTTGCTTTGAGCTCCTGGATCCCTTCGGCACAGGGTCCCCGTCTGCCCACCTCGCTCCTAGCGTCTCCCGCGGGCAAACTCGGCGTCCCGATCCCGTCAAAATGGAAACAAAACCAAACCACTAGGGAAAAACCCCCAGCTCCTGTGCCGCGTGCCGCCCCTTCGAAATGTAAAAGTTTTTTTTTTTTTTTTTTGCATTTCAAATGCATCAAGTTTTTGCTTCTTAGAAGGGGGGCAAGAAGAAGGGGGGAAAATCCCGCTTTAGGTGCTCCTCCGCGTTCGAAATGGGGAAAGGGAGGGAAATGGGGGGAAGAAAAATAAGGCTCGGTGACCAGAGAAGAGAGACAAGATGGTGAAGCTTAGCAACAACTGTGGGGAAGCAGCAAAAAAGCGAGTTAGCCTGGGGTGAGAAGTGGCGGCGATTTGCACCCTTTTTTGGTCCGGAAACTGGGGTACGGGACCCGGGCCCGGCAGTTAAGAGGCCCGCGCGGGTCGTGGTGAGGGTCTGGGGTACAGGGAAGGGACGGCGGGCGAGATTTCGCCGAAAAAAGGAGAGCCGGGGTGCGGGGAGGAGAGAGGACAGGTTCGGCGCCGCGGCGGTGGCTGCTGCTTGGCTCAGACTGGGGAGCTACCGCCGCCGGAGGGAAGAGGGAAACTCGCTCTTCCCCTTCATTTCGGGCCAAAAAGTTTGCGGGCGAAGCCGGAGGGGCCGTGGGGACCCCGTCCAGGCCCCCAGAGATCGACTCAGGGACCGGCGGGCCTCGGTTCCGGGGAAGCGGGCAGACAGGAGAACTTACCCCCCCCTTCGTCGGCTGGAGCTCGGCGGCGCTGGCTTCGGAGAGCGACGGCGGTACGGCGGCGGCTGCGAACACAATTGAAAGATGGCTGACACCGAGGCTGGCCCCCAACACACGGCGCCCCGCCCCCGGGCCGCGCGCCAGCCAATCACACACAATGGAGGGAAGGCAGGGTCCCGCCCCCCGCGTGCCCCGCCTCCGCCCCTCCCCCCGCGCACCCGTTCGCTCGCGCCCTCGCCCCTCCCTCCTCCGGGCCGCCGACCGCCTCGCGCCGTGTGTGTACAAACACAAAAGACACGCTCGGAGCCGCCGGCTCTACGCCGAGGCCGCTCGCCCTCCTCGGGCCCCGGCGCGCCGGCGCCACGCTCCCGCCCGCTCCACCGGCGCGCGTCCATCCCAGCCCCCCAGAGCCGGGCTTTGGGGCGCCGAAGGGG